CCTTGTCCTTGGGCAAGTCACTTCACCCGTACTTCCTACAGATGGCGGCCAGAGGGCCCTGTGGCCCCTGTGTAGGGCAGCCTTCCTTCTGTCAGGGAGCCCCAGGGCAGCTGTGACTACAATGTGGGTCACCGCCATCAGTGTGAGTGTGAAACCCTTTGGTCAAGTCTCCTGACTGTAAAAAGAGCTATATAAATACAGGCCAGTTTCCATTCATGTGAAGGTATTGTACATGTGTTTCATGTGTTTTTGTTTGTGGTGGTTTTTATTGAAATGGTCAGGTTTCACATTATGTTTGGGATGAAATCAGTCACCTTTAAAAAGCTGCTGCCAGCCAACCTGAAATGGCAAATGACGTGATTAAAACAAAAGTTTACTTTTTTTTTTAAGACTAGGTGATGCTGAAGGGGTTTTCACATTCCTGATTTAAATATATAAACTGTAGAGACATGAAGGGACAGAATCAAGGGAGGGGATTTATCAGTCAGTCAATGATGACTGACTGATAAATCATCACCCAAAACAGAAAAGCTTATTTGTAGAATCCTTATAATCACTACAATCTCTTCTTTGTCGACACAGAACACATGTTGGCTATTCAATATTTTTTCTATGAAATTGCTAATATGCATGGTTCATATCGTAAAAAGAGTGCCTCTTGGGCAATATTTCTTTAAAAAACAGTTGACAGGGGTAAACCAATTTCATCTGCTCTAAATCTGATTGCTATTGTCCACTTGAGGCTTCATGGGTCCACTGACCCCAGCCACCGCTATGTCAGCAGGGGTCCCAGCTGTCCATATGACAGAACATACCCACCATATGGGCCGATATGCATGCTAGTATTTCCAGGCAAAGGCTTCCTGTAATTTGCGCCTAAAGAACTGATAAACTGCAGCGGTGCATTTAGAGAAGGGTTTGTTTTTTTTCTCTTCTGATAAGAGTAATGACACAGTGGAAGTCCTTCTGTACTAAAGGACAAGATGTATGATGTTCCTGTTTACTTGCCTATCTTGTAACGGCCCAGAAATTGTTTTTTTTTTTCAATATCGGGTTAACAAAACATTAAGATCTAGCTGTAAGATAGGGGTCTGTTCTTTGTTACCAAATGAAGGCTGTATTGTAGATGAAGAAGTTTTCTTAATAGAAACATAATAGTTGGATTATTAAATAATTTATTATAATAATTTTTTTGTTTGAGTAAGGAAAGCAGCAAAAAAAAAAAATTCATATAAAAAAGCTGAAATGAAATAAGCTGAAATGTTAAAAATCAAACAACAAAGCTTAGATAATAACAAAAAGTACTTGGTGAAAGAAAAAATGGAAGAAAATAACTTTATTTTTAGAAAATGTTGCAGAGCTGCTCTATGTAAAAACCTAACCTTAATAGAGAAGTGGCAAAGAAAAAAAAACAAACAAACAAAGCAGATTTATGAAATAAAAATGCCTCTTAGCTGTTGGCTCCAACTCACATCGGTAGGTCACCCATTTATCTATCTTTGTGGAGCCATCCCTGGATTAACCTTGGCCACCACCACTACTGTGGCACCTGCTAGTGTGGGAGGTTTGCTGGTTTCATGAATGAAGCTGAATTTTCCACGCATCAGCGAACGCACCTGCCTTAATGACAGCATCAACAGATGGTTGGGGTTTGCCCAGCATATTTTACTAGAATTTATTACAGTTAAACTGTTTTATTAGTAGGCCTTCCTTATATATTCAAAAATATAGAACACTGCATATAGTCTTCAACATCTTTCAAAGTCAGCTGTTGGTTGTAATTTTTTTGTTGGCATCCTGAAGTTTTTAACTGTCCCAAGTGGCAACACTTTATGAAACAAATCTGGGGGGTCATAGGTGAGAGTAGTATTAAAAATCTGCAGCTTAAGTTGCAGTTTGGTCATCTCCCATAGGCACTGCACCCAGTACAGTAGGTGATATGTGCTAAATGTAATAATTTGTCAATCCAATCTTTTTGGTACAATTTCTGGTAGTCCATATAATATATTGTTAACAGCTAAGAACATATGTAAATTCTCCAATTAGTTTGTGAATATTTATGGTAACAGCTGCTTGAATAACGATTATTTTCATTAATATAATTCAGATCTCAAAGTTTAACTGGGGAGCAACAGATCCCCACTTAAAGATTTTTCACTAATATCTGAATATTTTTTGGGCTGGTTGCTGCCTTTGGTAAACTTTGTAACTACAACATCTGACAAAACTAAAGTCAAAATCTTATCCTTAATATCCTCCCATTGTGTGTTTTAGAGCCCTTGCCTCAAGTTTATTCATATATTGATAAAGATGAATTATCTTGACAAAACTATAAATTTTTTTTGTTTGTTTTGTTTTTTGTCTTCAGCATGTTTTGTCAAATAAGAACATTTTCAAGCTCTTTCTGCTTGAAGTCATAGGACAGATCTTTAACATAAAGCTGAAGCTGTTTTTTCTGCTGTTAGACTTTAGAAACGTTGCTGCTTCAAATACGCCCAGTAAGTGTAAAGATCAATAAGTGTAAAGAAGATCAAAAATCTATTTGTACTGTTAATATTATATATATCTATCAACCCTGCTGCTGTTTTTTTCTTTTCCATCTATTTAGCTTGAATTATGTATATCTTTCATTTGAATATGAATATTTATTATTCATAACTGTAAAGTACTTTTTTCTTTCTGAGAAATAATTATATACATTTTTAACCCCCGCTGAAGGCTAAAACTTCATTTTTTAAATGTTGCTATCATGGTCTTGGTTCTGTTGTTTTCTTTTGAAAATTCAGTTTTACTTTGCTGCATGTTTTCTAATTTTAGATTAGATTAGATTCAACTTTATTGTCATTACACAGGTACAGGTACGAGGCAATGGAATGCAGTTTAGGTCTAACCAATAGCAGCAAGTGCAGGATAAATAATGGCTCCATAAATACAGGACATGGGTTTCTACTGAATAAGTTATAAACAGAATCTTACTAATAGATGAATATAATATACAGATAACTAGTGTTATGAACTAAATTTACAGCTGGAAATCTACCGAATATAATATACAGGTGGATATTACTATAAAAAGGGTTTTTACAGTTATGTACAACAGCATATATACAGATGGATTTTACTATAAAATGAATAAATAAAGTTTGGACAGAAGCTATCTGAATTAAAGTGCAGTGGAAGGTAATTGCATATTACAGTTAAAGTACGTTATTGCAAATGTATATGTAAACAATTGGTACTGTGAATAAGCAGTCGGCAGAGCAAATCAATATTCAATCAAGGTGAGTAGTGCAAGATGCATGTAAACAGTTGTTACAATAGTAACAGTCAGGAGCGAAGGTGAACATTACAGTCTTGTAATAAACAGAATAGCAAAATGGTGGTAGTTGTGAGGAAGGAGAGTAGAGTCTATCTATGAGGGTTAGAGTTCAGTAAAGAGACAGCTCTGGGAAAAAAGCTGTTCTTTAGCCTGTTGGTTCTCCGGAGGTATTATTGGTTTAATTCCTATTTTGTTGTGTTTTCTGGAAATGTTTGAGTTCTTAGGTTTTTATTTGTTGCCCTCTTGTGTTGGTCTACTTTTCCCTGGTTCCTTTCTAGACTCCTCTCTTCACACCTGCTCCCAATCTGCTCGTTAGTTCTCTCTTTGTTCAGTCTCCCATATATACTCTCCTTGTGCAGTTCGTCAGTGCTGGTTCCTTGTCTTACCTCGTCTCCTCATGATTGTTTTCCCCTGATGTCTCCATGGTTCTGCTTTGTTTTACATTTTTCATGTTGGATTTTTGAATTCTTGCCTCAGTTGTTTGTGAGCATTCAATTAAACCTTCAAGAAACTCACCTCTACCTCCCTGCTTCTGCATTTGGGTCCTCTAACCTCAACCAAATCCTGACAGTTGCCCAATTTTTGTCTCGTGTGTGTATAAATATATGCTGGATTTATCCACTATCACAGACGAATTTTCCACATGGTGTGGAACAATAAAGATATTCCTTATCGTATCTTGAATTACACACAGTAATTAGCTAGAGTTAGAATTTCCGACAGTCCGTGAAGGCACCGCCCCCTCCTCCTCTGGGCAGCAGCAGCCGCTCTGCGCATCAAGCTGCTTCCATTCAGTGTGTGGCTGCTGAGCAGGGAACAACAGGCTACCTCGCTCCTCTCAGTCTATGGTGAGTATAACAACCTTCAGCTCGTGTCACATCCTTATTTATCTCCATTTATATTTAATGTCGCATATTTGTTGTCATTAAGGAGGCTCGGGTTGAATTTGCGTGCATTTAATCCACAAAGTGGTGTCTGAGACGTGCGTGTACAGTGTGGTCTTTTGTTCTCCCCCCTATATAAATACTCTAATTAAGTAGAAAAATATCTATTTTCACAACGTGAACATACAAAGCTGACATTTATTTATTTTTTTTGCAGATTATTTTTTTGTTTATTTTTATATATATATATTTTTAATGTAAAATTTGACAGCAATATGTTTCTATTAAATATCCAATAAAACCATAAATAACAACTGCTTGATCTTATAGCTTTATAGGCGTGCCATCTTCACAAGTCTTTATATTTATTAATGTTTTATTTATTTTTTTCTAGGATGCTGCACAGCTTTGTGACAGAGGACATATTTAAGCCAAGCTGCTGTCTAACAAAGAGCCATAAAAGTCAACATCAACATGTGACATCATCGTTTTCTTACTGGTAACATGCATGGTTAATATTAACAGGGTAGCTGGAGCTGAACGAAAATAAAATCTCAGCTTTTGAAAAGAAGGTGTTGCTCTATCGTCATCAATCACGAAGATCTTCGTAACCATTGGGGGGTTCCAAAGGAGGTCCGAGTCCCAAGGTTTAGCTTCCTGAGAGGCTTTGGGATCAGAAATGTGGAATAAACCATGAGTGTAAACAAAGCGGTTGAGTCTGCCTTAGTCCTATTGGCTGGGCAGTGTACATTCCACCTCACGGCCCTGCAACATCTCCACATGTGCGCTGTTTACTGATGGACCTCTTAGCACAGACACTGGGGTCCAGCTCCAGCTGTGCCATGACGTCATCCGACCAAGATGAGACGGGGAGCGAGCTGTCGGAGACCATGGACATCCGCGAGCTCCAGGACCATTACGTGTCCACGGAAAACTGCTTCAAGTCCAAAAGTTTACCGATCCTGAATGGGCCGTGCGAACATGGTGGCAGCTCCTCTGCGCAGGCTCTGCAGGTCGGCGCAAACTGCACCTGCTTGGCTGTGGAGGACAGCCTGGCGTTTCAGCTGAAGACTCCAGAATCCAGCCAAGCGGAGTCCCCTTCCTCATGGATGGACTTTTCCCCCTCAGTGTCCAGCATGGTGGGGCTAAGCAGCGCCATGCCGGTGGAGGGCCACAGGTCATCGGGGTCCAGAGGCAGAAAACTCTCTTTCTCTCTCAGTCGGTTTCTCTGGATCCCTGCCAGGAAGTGTGTGCGGGTGATCCTCAGTGACTCACGTTGCTTCTTGTTCTGCATGTGCTACCTGACCTTCATCCAGTCCCTGATGGTTTCAGGCTACCTGAGCAGTGTCATCACAACCATTGAGAAGCGTTACAGCCTGCGAAGCTCCGAGTCCGGCCTGTTGGTCAGCTGCTTCGACATCGGCAGCCTGCTGGTGGTAGTCTTCATCTCGTACTTCGGCGGCAGGGGTCAGAGGCCGCGCTGGCTGGCCGTGGGGGGTGTCGTGATAGCCATAGGGGCGGCATTGTTCTCCCTGCCTCATTTTATCTCCCCGCCTTACCAGATCCAGGAGATGAACTCCTCGGCTGGCCACGAAGGCCTCTGCCAAAGCGAGAACAGTAGCAGGGGGGAACTGGAGGTGGCCTCTTGCCCGCGAGATCAGGAGGGAAATGAGCACAACCTGTACGTGGCTCTGTTCATTTGTGCCCAGATACTCATTGGCATGGGGTCAACACCTATCTACACCTTGGGGCCCACCTACCTGGATGATAACGTGAAGAAAGAAAATGCTTCTTTGTACTTGGGTAAGCCATGTGAATTCAATGCAGATAATATAGAGAAGTCATTCTGTAACCCAGTTTTTCTTGTTCATATTGTAACATGCAATTGAAGAAATTGAAGCAAGTGTTTTATTGTACGGATTATTTACTGCATGGAAAAGAGTGGAGGCTTCTCAAGGGTTAGATAAGAAGGAAAGCATCCATCTTATGTCCAATTGTTTTGTTTTTTTCCTCACCTAAGTTTCATAATAAAAAAACAACAGACAGATATTGCGTTAAAAAAAATTTAATAGAATCATCCTCTCTGGGATGTGAACATATTAAAAGGGCAACGACATTTAAGGTGTGAAACATACAGTGAAATAGTAATGTTTCACAACAGTGTAAATTTATCACACTAAATGTGTGTATCCAAAGGTGTCGCACAGTGAGCTAGTTTTTCATTTATTAGAACACATTAAAGAACAAAAAGTGAGGAACTGTCATTAGTTGCTATGGACGCCTAAAGAGTGGATTATTGAAAAACAATTTTATTTTATTATTTTTTCCTTCCCATCAAAATGAATTTGATGGGAAAATGAATTTAATGCTTTATGATTAAGTTTAAAGGCAACTTATAACTATCTTATTGACTAGTAAGGTACAAGCATGCATGCCGATATAAAGCTTTTGTCCTTCAGATTTAATATCAGTGTAAAGCAACCTCTATGCAGCTCTGAGAAATGCTGCTGGCTGCAGGATAATGTGCAAACCAGAGTTGCTTATGAACAGCTGGCGTGTCATGTCCTCTTATGAGTGTGTTCATAGTCACGGTGTGATCTTAGGAAAGGCTGACAGCCGGAATTAAACGTGCCTTTCCATTTAACAAGAACTGAGAGGGCTCTGCTTTGTTTTACATGTTATCAGGTTGTTTTCCCTTTATCCATGATGTTGCGCTCATCACCAAACCATTCAGGCATTTTGTCACATAGTCCCCATATATGTGATTGGTATGCTGGAACCTTAGTGGCCTCATTGGATTAAGATAGTTGAGCTGCTTATCGCATACCTCTCATTGTTCATGGAGAAGACCCAGACTGCAGAAGTAATCACCGTTTTTCAGTCTTTTTATTCAATGTTTGTCGTTGCATTTTTGGCATGTGGAGAATAGAAAAAAAAAATAAAATAAAAAAAGAATATTCACAATATGTATAGGATTTAGTGACATAATAATTGTATATTTTTTATTCACTTTAACTGAACTATCTCCAACTGCACAGCAGTTTTGCTTCCCCTAAAATTCCCCACATTAATTGACATTACAACTAGAGATTCATTGTGACAGATGAACACAAGGTACTAAATTTGACAGGGAATGATGGTGTTAGGTCAAAGCATGCTAATTTGTTAGTATGGGGTATTCAAAGTCTGGAGCTAAATATGCACTGAAAATTCGGCCTCAGAAAATTTTCTGCCGAAATGACTGAAAAGTGCATTTTCAGTTTTCAGCCTATTGACATATAACAGCAAAACATCACAGCCGAAACTTGTGATGATGCGACAAACTATACATCCAGCATGTGGGGAAAAAGGATTGCAAGCAAACGGCACAGTCAGCATGCTGAAACGTTGTGGAGCGATTGGAGCAGAGTTTGTCAGAGTTGAGCGCATGGTAGACAGGTTTTTAGTGAAGGGGTGCGAGTTTAAACATTGCCCGTCGTTCTCACTGCACGCTCTGATCAGTGGCACAAAATGAATGCCATAGAAATCCAAACATCCCCATCATGCAACATGGAAAAGGAAACTGATGTCTGTGGCGGATGTGTTTCAAAAGGCAAGAAGGTTTCCCAGTGATTCTGCTAAGGCAAAGCACATAACAAAAAGATGTCAGTGGTAAATAGATATTTTGATACTTTTGTAATTGATTTATTGAAATGCCTTGAGTTAAAAAAAATGAGTTTTTTGAGTGGGTTAGGTTAACATCATAGCCAAAAATGCTATGGTTCTAGTTTTTTTTACAATAATTTCTTTTGCCGTTTCGGTTTCCTTCCTTGGTTTCCTAATTTTTTTTTTCAGTTTTGGCCAATAATTTTTATTTTGATGCATCCCTACTAAATATTTTTACAATCTTAAGCAACATTTTTAAATTAAGAATGACCTAAAGCTCCATCTAATTTGCACAAAAGAAAGCCAAGATTTTTCGTTATATACAAAACACTCAAATTTCTCCCAGGTTGAGAAATACTGATGAAGGTTTTTCTACAAAGGAATAGATTCAGACTTAACTGCTTCATTCTGAAACCTTTCAGTATTTTTTTAAGTTTGTTTATTTTTATGTTGAGGTTTGCATAAGGCCTTAAAATGGTTGCACAGCATTGTCCGACCCCTTATAGGAGCCTTGCAGCCCCATGGAGCTCATCTGCTGCCTACCTTTGAGACTGTATCGATTGGACCCTTTCATCACAGGGACACAGTGCAGCATAGTTATTGAAGCAACACTAAACAAGGAGAAAAGATCCTTCAACACATTATTTTCCTGCTCTCACCTTAGTAAGGTCCTCCCTAGGTAATGCATCAATGCTTACAGATATGCCCCTCACCCAGCCAATGCTGCACTTACTGCCATGACCTTGGCCATGGTATCAGGGGACCCGCAGAGGGATCAGCCACTTCCTTGCAGTAAAGCAGTGTTTTGGAAAACAGAGATTTGTTCTCACATGGCAGTAGAGGGAGAAGATAGGTGAAGGAAAAAATGTCCTTGGTTTGTGTTGCAGACACTCTTATAACCATGGTAACATCAGTCATGTTATTTTTTTTTATCTGCTTTTTGAGCCATATTTTGACTGGGTTTTAGCTTTAGTAAAGCTGAATCTGTCCCTCGTTAAAACCGTAAAAAATGCTCAAACAAAGTTCCTTATTTTTTCCAAATGCTTGATACCAAGGCATGTTCTCCTATATACTAGATTCTCTGTTCAAACCCTGTGAATGTAAAGCTCACCTCTGTTTGCAGCTTTCCAGAGGGGAGGAGCTGCTTGCTTTTCTAGGACAATGCGGTTTACAGTGAGGGGGGGTACCTCCAGCGTCCCAGGAGAGACACAAAGCCCCCTGACTCACACTGCTGTAGAAATAGTACCTTGCAAAACTTTTCTGTACTGCTTGAAATTCATCACATTTTGTAACATAAAGGGGAGTTATTTGTGGGGGGATTTTACAAAAAACAAAAAGGGTGCATTGTTGTAAAAGTAAAATAAATGGGTGACAGATTTTCAAGTTTCTTGTAATAAAAAAAACCCCAGAGGATTTGCCATGTATTTTTGTTTTTTAGCTCCCCTTTACAGTGATGTATGTCAATGAAATCCAGTGTGGAGGGTATTGTGGTATTGCGTTGATTGCTGCATCATTGAGGGTAGAGGTGGTGGCGAAGAACTACAGATTCAGCTGTAACTCTGAAACTGGAAGCAGTCTCTCATGTCCAGGGATAAATGTTCCTGTGATTTGCTCGTTATGTTCAGGAACAAAGACTTTATCTACATCAGTTACTGAGCTGATGAAGCTCCTCTTAATAGCTCACTATCAAACAATTCAGCGCAGTTGTCTTTCTTAGTGATATAGAGAACTAACTTGTATGATGTACAATAATTTTTTTTTCATGGAGACTTTAGAAGTTTTCCAGAAGTTTAAAAACACAAGAAAATCTCTAAATAACAAAATTAACTCAGTACATTTTAAATACCTCTCTTATGTGTGTTTGCAAGTATTATATTTTCGTTATTCTTTTAGTATTAGTATGTTTTAACCCTTAGTTGTTGGACCAGAGTAGATCCGACTAGATATGAAAATGGAGGGTGTGTAATTTCAAATTAACTTAGCTTTGTGTTCACATAGTGAATTTCTGAATACCTAGATCAGTACCAAAACAGTGTAAGCCCGGCTTTAAACAACATTTAAATCATAAAACGTAACTGTGTGATCACTGTGCTCAATGTAATAACGTTGTTCAGTAACTGAGTTACTAACCCATTTACTTTTTGAGAGGAGTAGCTTTTAACTATAACTAGTTTGTTGTTTTTAAGTAATGTTTATTACACTGGTGGAACAAGATAAAGTTGTATACCATTCAACCTTATAATCTGTTCTGTTGAGATATGTTGGTTTATTAAATGATATCTTAAGACTGGACACTAAGTGATGTTGAAGGAGGTTACTGATGAGACTAAAAAAGGCCTACAAGCAGTTAAAGTACTTTAACTGAAAACCATAAGCGCCCATCATGTTGACAACACCAGCACCAAAGTGAAACATGGTGGAGGGATGCTTTTCTTCAGCACGGATAAGGAAGCTGGTTAGTGTTGATAGGAAGGCTGACAGAGGTAAATGCTTGGAGAAAGAAAATCACTTGGAGGCTTTGAAAGAATAGAAAAGAGGTTAGAAATACATTTTCCAGCAGGACAACGTTACTAAACCAACCCCCAGATCTACAGTTGTCCTCTTGACAATGATGCTCTAATCTATGTGTTGGCCTAGTGGTTAGAGCAGTGTGCTTGTGCTCTGAGAAGGTTGAAGTACCCGGTTTTGATCCCCACAGACTGCCACTCTGGGTCCCTGAGCAGAAACCTTAACCCCACACTGCTCCCCGGGAGCCGCACAATCGCAGCCCACTGCTCCTCAAGGGGATGGTTTAAATGCAGAGGCAAATTTCTCCAATGTTAGATCAATAAAGTTCTATTATTATTTATTAAATAAGGCATCAGATAGCTGATTTGCCTAAAAAAGAGGACCCTGTACCTTACTATCTTGTGTTGGTATGGAACCGTTTCAGCTTGTTGGTCATTTATTTCCACAACAGCCGCTTGACGTCTCCAAGATCTCACTAATCAATAAACACGTTTCTCATTTTCTAGTCCCAGATTTATTCCAGCCTCCAGACACTGCCAGCAACCTGAGGTAATAAGAGGTAGTTGAGATTTACATATAAATGGTGCTGACTAGCCGTTCTCAGTATTGGAATGCTGTAGTAGATGGGACTGTGAGATTCTCACCTTAAA